GGGTGTCGGGGGGGGGGGGGGGGGGGGGGGGGGCTCTCAGGTTGCCTGGCACATGCTAACAGCCTCAGAGAGCACAACATCTGCTTCCAACAGAGCCGAGGGATGCAAGAATGCATGGCAGAGCTTAACATGAGAGTCACTATCTGCGCTGCAAACTCATCGGGTGCCTTCCCTGGTGATTCATACAAACAGGGTCTCTACAGGCCTCCATCCAACCCTCAGGGACGTGTTTTGGGTCTACATGGGGAGCAGCAAGGCAACGCATACACTGCAGCCCCCGTATGGGGCCTTCTGTCCATTCCTGGCACCTGCAAACAGGCCTGCACCACAGAAGCGTGGTTCAGACATGCCGGGATTCTTACCGGTGCAGAACAGATGAGCTTTCTCTTAGAAGCAGGACAGTCTTACCCTGCTGAAGTGCTGTGTCAGCCTTGGTCTTCAGCTCGGCTGCAGAAGCTCTTCTAAGCGGCTCCTTCTCCAGCCCAGCTTTAATGAGCTCGGCCGTGGAAGGGTTACAGGACGGCGGGATTTCCCTCCAAGGAGGCGGCTCTTTGGCTATCTGCATCACACAAAACAGCAAGGGAAAGGGGGTGAAGCGAACGCACAGACACTCCCTTCAGCTTCCAAGAGAGACCGTCTCTCTTCTGCGCTGGCCAAGCCATGCCGCCCAGGGACCCGGTTAAGAGTGTGGAACCGGGACCAAAGGTTGGGTAATTAATTCTACAGCTATAAAGATCATGCACCTCAGAGACAAGCAAAGGGGAAACAGGAAACAGCTTTTGCATGACCAACATAGGGCCACAAGTAACATAAGCAGGCTATTCCCAGTGCTAGTCCCGCTTTGCGCTCTCAGGCCCTGTGCCCACTGCGTTCTGGCTAGGACGCAGGTTGCTCACCGCTCTGGGTCTCCGGCAGCGCACTGTTGCTCACTCACCTTTAAGCACAGAGGGTGGTTGTAATAGCGGGTCCAAGGATGACACCCATTGAGCATGTGCAGCATCATGCAGCAGCTGCTCCAGATGTCCACCTTCGAGTCACAGCGCTTTCCCATTACTACCTCTGGAGCCATGTGCGTCTCTGTGCCCGGCATGTAGGACCCTAGAGATACAAGCCGCTCTCAGAGATGGCCATCAGATCCGCCGAGTGCCCGCTAAGAACTAGCCCAAGTGCCATACAGGCACCAAACAGCCCACAGGAGCCCAAGGCTTTCATCCAGAGCTTTGGTCTACAAGGCAACTGGGACCCAAGAACGATAATGTGGGCAGATGGGCCTTACCGGTCACTAGGCACTTCCCCAAGCCATCTGGATGAAGACGAGCAGAGTGGCCGAAGTCACAGAGGCGAGCCCGGCTTCCATCCCTGGATAAGAGCATGTTGTCCGCTGCCAGGGAGAACATTTTCAATCAGTCCTCCCATTCACCGAGGTCAACCCCATGCAAAAGGGGCCAAACCCTTGTGGAGCCCAAAACTTAGGATTCTGCTCAGGCTCACAAAAAGCTGCAGCAGCCAGAACGTGGCACGGTGCCAGGCACGAGCCTGCCAGCTCCGCCCTACAATATTCCCTCTGCTCCAGTGTTGGGCCTCCCCATGCACCATCCCGGTCAGGTAAAACACAGCGGTAGGGAGGAGGAAATGACACACATTATACTCCTGCCCACTGAGAGGCTAGCGCACTAGGCCACAGCATCCCACCTGCCATGTGGAATTAGGAGGTGCCTGTTCAGTCGGCTGTTCGGAGGAACAGGCGTAATAGGGTGTTACGTGGAACCCTACCTTTGACATCTCCATGCAGAATGTGATGAGCGTGAAGATACTCCAGACCGTCCAATGCTTGACCCAGGTAACTGAGGGCTCTATCCTCTGGCAAGTAACCTCTCTGTTTAATCAGCTGGCCTAATGAGCCACCTGAGAGAATTCAGAGGATCCACATGTCAATCAGATCTGTCCAGTAACCCTCAGGAGCATCAATATTCCTCCCCTTCTGCTAGACCCAGAGGGGGGACACATTTGTCTCTCACAAATGGGCAAGATCCTGTTTATTCCCAGAGTTCTTGTTATCCAAGGTAACCTCCATCTTCCAAGTCCCTTAGTTTGGTCTCTCATAATTTAGTGGTCTCCTGGGGCAAAATTATCAGCCTGACAGAACCAACCCCAGCCAATTCCTGCCAGTCATCAACTGATCCGTGAAGAGGATGCACTTTCTGGTGCCCTGGTTGAGACTAAGAGCTATGTGCATGGAAGGTACCATGTTCAACACCTACCCCCAATCCACACCAGTATATTACGTGGGATCACAGAGATGAAATTCCAGAGTTAGTCCCAATAGCAAACACTGTCGCATCAAAGCAAACCGGTATTTGCTTCGGTTGGCAGCGTGGAGGAATTTTTTGGTTTTCTAGGGTCAGAAATGTAAATCCTGAAGGGGAAGGATCACTCAGAATAAATGGATAGAAATGAACATCACCAGTGTTAACCCACGATCGCTGACGCCAAGATACTAACTCCAGGGAAACCCCAGACTACCACCAAGGAATAAAAACCATTTACAATTGTGGCCAGGGCGGAGAAGGCATCAATGCCCATGGTTGATGCTGGCAAGGGTACTTCCATCTATCAGGGATGATCAACATCGGAGCAGGCAATTTTTTGAGGGGGGCCACTCCAAGAATTTGGAAAATGATCAAGGGCTGTGATATTAAGGAAAGGTTTGAGATGAGTTTGGTGCAGAAGGGAGCTTGCGATAAGGAATTGGGGTGCAGGAGAGGGTGAGGGGTCCGTGAGGGAATTTGGGTTAAGGAGGCAGCTGTGTCAGGGGACTAGGGTGCAGGGGTTTGGGTTGTGACCTGGGTCAGGGGACTGAGGTGCAAGAGGGAGGCAGACGTTTTGGGTTACGTGGTGTAGGGGTACAGGAGGGAGGGCAGGGGTTGTGACCTAGGACAGGAGGGGCTTGTGACCTGGGGAAGAGGACTGAGGTGCAGGGATGGAGGCAGAGAGTTTGGTTGTGTGTGATGGGGGGCAGAGGGTTGGTGTGCCAGAGGCAGGCTTTGGCTGAGAGCAGCTCTGCGAGGCAGGGAGTCTGCCTGAAAGTCTTTGAATAGCTAAGAGCCTAAGGAGAGGGCAAGAGGGTGCTTCACAAACTGCCTGTTGACAACAGCAGCTTCCATTGACCAGAAACCATGCAATGGGATTGTGCTGGGGAGGGCAGCACACAAAGCCTCTCCCACCCCCGGGCTTTCAGCTGTTCAAACAGGGAAGGTGTGTTTGGGGTTGGAGGAGGGGCAGGCGGGGAGCATGCCACATGGCCCGTGGGCTGTATTTTCCCCAGCCCTGGTCTAGACAGTGTTTAGCCCTGCCATGAGGGCAGGGGACTGGACTCGATGACCTCTCGAGGTTCCTTCCAGTTCTAGGATTCTATTCCATTATGCTTGCATCTTCCTCACCCTCCATTAGTTCCATGAAGATAGTAACCCAAGGGCCTTCCTTCACTGCTCCATACAGAGGGACAACTTTGGGACTTGTTACTCCAGCACATGTCGTCAACTCCTCTGCACGAAAGTGTTCGACTTGCACCTGGAGAACCACAGAAAAAAAAACTGAAGTCAAGATGTCCAATTCCAATAGCTCAGCTAGGTCTGTTCCAATACCCTCCGCTTCCTGGGTTCCTCTGGAAAGGCAGCTCTACCCTCACATATGGGACAGCACCACTGTCAAAGTACTGGCCAAGCGCATCAGTTCTGTGCACCAATGGGACCTGAGCAGCAGAGGACAAGAGACAGTACTAGGCACTTTGGGTCAACCTTTCCAACAAGAAAGAAAAATGCCACTATGAGACTCAGTAGCTGTCAAAGCTACAGAACAGTTTAAAAATGGCCAGGAACCAAAGCTCAGAGTTCAGTGCCCTTTCCCCAGATCACTTCCTTCCCTTCAGTCTGCAGATTATGGCTGAGTGCATAACATTTTGGAAGGAAGATAAAAATCAGCTCTAGATAGGTCTTGTTTAAAAGGAAAACTCCACGCGCCCTGCTGACAGAACACTTCTCTAACCCACAGCATTGCTCAAGAGGACAGGCAGTTTTCCTTTACTCTCACTTTTCAGTTTGCTCTGTCCATATGATAACACACAGAGTGTCCCTTTTTGTGCTGATCTTTCATGCAACAGGAAGAAAATGTTTTTTAAATGCCAGGAAAATGTGACAGTAAAAGTCACAACGGAGAGGAAAAACCAGCACAGCACCTAGAATAACTTGTAAGTCACTTTAAGTGAACACGATTTTCAAGTCCTCTTTAATCTGCTAATGTGAGGGAATCTGCTCTATTTATCACTTCCTTAGGCAGTTGCCATGCGACACAAGAAAAAACGAAGTAGAAAGTTGATTCACAGCAGTGGGCCAAACAAAACTAGACTCTGCTGAAGAAGGAAACCCTGACTCATCTGGACACTGATGGGAAAAGGATGCATCATGTTTCGTTGCTTTTAGTGATCCAGCCACTGCTAGTCTGGTTCAGTCTCAAGCATTTGCAAGCCAGCTGCTGAGATCAAGTTTGGTAAGATATGGGTAGGTAGCTCAAATCCCATAAACACAGAGGTGGCATTAATTTCAGGCAAGCAGGGCAATGCATCTCATTAACACATAACCAAGATCTTCACATTTCTTCATTGCTGTGGTTTTTTTGACTATGAAAGATACATTGTCAGAAATACCTTCCCTTCTGAAGACTGCGGGTAACATTTTCAAAACACTTACCGCCATTTTCAAACATGCCAAGCATGTCTGAACATTTTAACTTGTAGCAAACAGGAAAATAATCCAGAAGCAAAATTATCTGAATACATGCGTCTGCCAGAAGGATACTTAACCCAAAGAAGAGATTGTGTATATGTTATGACATCAGCACAACTTCATGTAGTGGCCAGAAGTCGTGTGTGTCTATATTTTAAATGTACTAGGCAAATGTTATATTGCAAGGTTTTCTGGTTTGTTTTAGCTCTGGCTCCTGAACAGCTCACAAGTGGGAAGAGATCAGATGTATTATTTTTTCAATATGGTTAATTATAGTTTTGCTTGTTTGTTTCTATCAGTAATCAGTCAAGCTAAGAATTATTTATATATCATAGAAAAACCCCCACAGATTTTAAGCGAAAATATGTACTCAAAAAGATTCTGAACCCAAACTCTAAGAGTCAGTTAACTCCCACGCTCTTGATTAGAGTAAATATGGGGGAAAATATTTTTAAACAGCCACCAGAAAGCAAATGCATTCTGATATCTGCATTACAGTACTGTGCACTAAGATTATGACTGAAGATAATTGGTATAAATGTAACTACCTACAAGGGAGGAAGGGAGGGGAGCATAGCTAAGACAAATCTTCAGAGAAATCGCCACGTTCTATTGGCATCATGCCACGTTTCATGAAGACATCTGACTTTATTGTACAAGATCTGAAACTTGCTCAACCATTTAGGATCTGGAAAAGTACAGTTCCTTTGCAGAGCCTATAATATGATTTATTACTCTTTACAGAAGGGCTACTCAACACGCAGCCCGTTTGAGGCCCGCAGTGCAGTTTGGGTTTACGTGGGGCTCACAGAGGGGCTCACCATGTGGTCCACAGGTGGGAGCCAAAACAAAAAAGTAGTCAATAGAATGGTCTTCTGCTGATATGCGTTTTAGCAGTTAAATTCCTGGACTATCATTGTTCATTAAAAATGCTGTCATACGGATGAAAATACTGCATTTTATTAATATCAGCAGAACTGACTTAAATGGGGCCTTAAACTTTGTATTCATGCCCGTCAGCATGAAAGAAACTATTTGCATATATATGCAACCACACTTAAGTTATGGCCTTCAGCATCTGCTGTGAGTATCATTGTGGCCTCCTGGGCTTCCAAAGTTGAGTAGCCCTGCTTTACAATTTACCAGCATTGTTCAGACATAATATGCAAATTGATAATGCCAAGAAAAAGCCTTCAAGTTATCCTCATTCTAGGGTATTTGCAGTCACACATTTTTTTTAGTACTCACATATCAAGTAGAGGATGAAGCACTTACCCTTTTGCTCTGTGCCCCTAGACCAGGAGTTTTCAAACTTTGGGTTGCAGCTTGTAAGGGTAAGCTGCTAGCTGGCTGGGAGATGCTTTGTTTACCTGAGCGTCTGCAAGCATGGCACTCTTAGCTGCCACTGGCCGCAGTACACCGTTCCCAGCCATGGGAGCTGCGGGAACGGTGTATCAGTCACCAGGAGCTGCAAGGAGCAATGCCTGAGGACATTCAGGTAAACAAAGCAGCTCGTGGCTAACGAGTAGCTTACTTTTACAAGCTGCAACCCGAAGTCTGGAAACCCTTGCCCTAGACACATTTTAAGATTTCAGTTAGATTCATGTAGCAGCTAAAGACATGCTTCCGATCCTTAGGACTGAGTTCTCAGAATCCACCCAGCCTCTTTCAGCTCCCAGTAACAAGGGTGCCCCGCAGCATGCTGTGAAGAATTATATCCGATCACTGAAATACACTCGCTTCACCTTACCACACCTACAAAAGTTCTGCTGTTTGATGTATCCATACCAATGCTTTGCAGTTTGCCCATGAATGCACAACTTCAACAGCACTGACTCTCATAAGAGTAACAGACCTATAGTCCTTAGGAGTTGGTACAAAAGCAGACCAAACTTTGTCTTTGTGCCTTCTTTTATTGGACATATCAAACTTCCCTTTGTTTTTGTAACTTACCTTTTTGGCAGCACACTGAAATCCCGTCTGTTTGTCCTCTATTTTGTACACTTCCCCAAAAGAGCCAATGCCCAGGAAGTCATGGCACTTGGTCCAGTGAACTTCTTCTCGGTATTCATAGTCCACTGGCTTTAATTTCTAAGAATCAGAAGTAAAAGACAAAATGAAGCAAGCATGCAGGAAGATGGCTGCCCATCTTGTGTGTCAAATTATTGCCTAAAACAAGCCCTCCGCTCCTGCTCCATCTAGATTTCTTGGTCTCTGATCTACATCCCTCCATCTCAAAGAGAAAATGAGCTATCCCCTAAAGATCTAAAGGTTTCTAGATAACCAGTCCACCTTAAGGCTGTCCCTTCCAGAGGCTGAGTGGACAATGCACTCACTGGACACAGCTGTAACAGCTAACGCTACAAGATCCAGAAGCAGGTGGATGTTTTTTGCCTGCAAGATTTACAAGTACTTCCGTTGCTCTGGGAAGCCCTACCTATGGACTGGTAAACAAAAGTACCCAGCTGTGGAACAAAAGTAGGGTTTGGAGGGGCAAGGGAAAAATCTTGCAGGTGTAACTTAGCAACCTTCTGACCACTGGACTCCAAATAAATTGCAAATTGCCTATGGCAAAAGCGTATGATATATTTGCCCACGTGGGCTAGGCCCTTTTACCACTGAAAAATTAGTCTCTGAAGGCTGGCTATGTTCCAAATCTCTTCCTACTATAAACACCCACTATACCAAGCTCTTTATGGTGCTCACTGAAGCATTGTAAGCCAGACAGAATCACAAAGGACTTTACACAGTGCAGGAGTTGTTAGAGTACTGCTTGAATTCACGCACACTCTCAATGGAAGAGCATACACCACTACGGATACACTCCAAGAGGCATTTAGAGGTGTAAATTCACAGTGCTACTAGACAGAAAGGAACACCATGCCTGCCACTATGTTGGCCCAAGATCTATGCCAAAAGTATCACCTCCGTAAGCAGCACCCCCTCGTTGTCATCTGCCTCTTGAAACTGCCCCTTCAAATCCAGACCGCCTCCTCTCCACGTCTTGGCAAGGCTGGCTAAGTTCCGAGGCTCCCCGAGGCTCACGCTCCCTTTAAGAGCATCCACCAAATATTCTTCCACAGAAAGTTTGTCCGAGGTGGTTTCCGTGGACTGGCTGACACATTTTGAAAAGGTGTGTTCTAAGCTTAGGCCAGACAAGCGTGGCTCACTAGTCGCACAGGCCCAATCGTCACGGAGGTAAGTCTCCAAAGGGTTACGCTTCACAGCACAAAGAGGACCATCCAGAACAGAGATGCAAGAGGGCAATCTGTTGTAAGGGAAGGGATGGAGGGTCTCTGGCTGAGGCACAAAGTCCCCCTGACAGTGTAACTTCCAAACATGGTTCAAGCACTGAACTGGGCTTATTAACTTGTGCAGCTCTGGTCTATGTGGGTTTCTTAGTGACTGGAGTTTGTCTGTGAGCAGAACTTTTCTAGGTTTATCAAACAGTATCTGATCAGAGATTGAATCCTTGCAAGGTTCTGAAAAACAGGAGCTGTTACTGAAGAGAATGTTTTGGTGAGTTTCATCCTCCTGGAACACAAGAGGAAGAGAGTTAGGCAGGAACTCTAACAATAAAGCCAAAGGATTTCTCCTCCCAATCTATGGAGCTGAGCTAATGGGTCTCACCTGGACTGGGATCGGAGTACAACTTTCTTGTTCTGGAGTTCTGGGCCCTTGCTTAGCAGGGGCCAGTGTTTGAATTCGAACCCTGGATCTTTTCTTGCGACGTTTCTTCCTGCCTTTACCCCGATGCCTTGCCCTCCAGCAGGCTGGTGCCATTTTCCCCTCAGTAGCATGGGCCACATTGTTAGGGATCTGATCAAGATTGTCTGACCTGCTAACAACAAGAAAAGCGAAGGACACATTTTAATATGATAAACAACAGGAGCACGTCTTCCCTGGCTGGTCACTGGCAACGACACCGAACCAGGCAGGAATGGAAGTTGCCAATATTGTTTTGTCAGTAGGAAAAGTTATGAATGCAAAAGCGTATTTGCATTAGGTAAGAAAAAAAAGATCATGAGAGCAGACAGCAGCGTTGGGCCCAGTAGAAGACACAGTCAACATATTTTGGAAGGTTTTGCTGGAGCCACTGGCAGTGAAAAACATTGCCAAGTTGCTCTATTGGCACAAACTCGCAGTGTACTGCATGTACATTTAATTAAGTTTACAATCTCTCTTATGTAAAGGAAATCTGTAGGCATGCTTAGAACATCTTTTTTACATTTTAAAAAGTATATTTAGTGTTAAAGAAAGGATCAGGGCCCATTGTTTGCAACAGTTTTCAAAATTTAAACCAAAAACCTCTAGTCTGTGATGACTGGGACAGTAAAACTAAAAAAGTTTTACTAGGAAATCATAACTGTGCAACCCAGCACCACCCTAAGGGATGTGCAGCAATAAAAAGATTGGTCTTTCAGAAGACAAATATTCACTGTATGAGGCATTCATTAGTCACCTGCCACCAGAAGTTGTTCAGTTCCAGCTAACAGAGAAGGAGAGGGGAGACTGCTCCTCACGAAAAGAATTTCCAAGTTTACCTTGCATTGATTCACACAGTGTAGCCATTTGCCCTTCTCACAGAACCTGGGCAAATGGAACCTTTTCAAAGCTTTTTCAGTCATTCCTAGCAGCCTTTTCTCTCACTGCACATTTAGCTGGTTTAGCAGCCCAATGGTGGGTGCTAAGCTCATGGTGAGATGGTGGCACTAAGCACTGGCCATGTTTCATTGCACTTCTTACATACTTAAGGGGTTAAGTTACCATGTCACAGCACAATTTGCACTTTTTCAAAGGATACTGGCCTAGAGGAAAACATCTGCCATGCCAGCTGAAGGCAAGGCAGTAGTGGGCATAGGACAGAGGTATCAAGGATACAACCCTAAGCATCAGATCCCCTGCTTGGCAGCTGTGATCTGGTCTCTAGTGCCCTTAGCCCATATCAAAGCAATCCACCTGGAACTGGTTCTGCAGGGCCAGGAGGAAGTTGGCACTTGCTGAAAGTGAGGAAGTGTATGCTGATGGGGTGTAGTTACCTGCGGCCACCCATCCCTTACTCCAAAACAACTCCACTCATGGCACCATCAGCACTGAGCCCTACTTCCAAGCTTGCCATAAGCTCATCCCAGCCACAGCTGAAGGGCCCCTAAGTTCCACTTCCTCGTCCTGTGGCTGCGACCCCCCGCCCCTTTCGCACCACCACCGAGCCCTGAAACCCCAGCCTGGCAGGTGCTGCCCCTTCTCCTCCCACTTGGCTTTATCTGCCACAACTGGTTCCAGAGAATAGATCACAGATCTGCTCCTGCTGCCCAACTGCCTCCATCAACCAGCTCAGCCTCCCACAGCTTTTCGGAGGCAGATGTGGGAAGGATTCATTAAAGAACGTCTCTCCAGCTAAGTTAGTCAGAGAAGACTAAAAAAATACGTCCCTTACTGTGAACTTTCTTCTTCCAGCTCAAGGACCTAAACTAAAAAAGGTCTTTCAGCTCCCACCGAGCAACTTCGGTGTAAATGTTCAAGTGGGTGGGGGGGGGGTCTGGGGGGAAAAACACACCAAGATTTTAGGGATGAAGAAACCAAGACGCTGACAATAAGGATAGCTAAACACAAAGCCTTCAACATGGTTTGTGGGGCAGCATGTCACAGGACAGGACGCGATGCGAATGTAGACAGAGGTGGGGGGGGGAGAGTGTTGTGAATTTCTCACACTCCTTAGAAAAAACAGAGGTCATCACTTCTGAATAGAAACAAACTATGACAATACAAAAGGGCACCACTGAAGTAGTGATGTTAGATCAGTAAATGCCACACGTACTTGTAACTCATTTATTTTAAAGGCCTCTTACCTGTAACGTTTACTGTCAGCTATGAAAGGCCTCTCTGAAAAGGTGGGTAGGAACTGCTGGCTGTTCTCACCTGTGTGAAAGAAAACAAGAGCACAGTGGAGTTTCAATACTAGATAGTCTCCACTGACGGCAGCAAGTGTCTGAACAAGGTAACGTCCTGCTAAGACCAACAGTGATCCAGGAGATTCAGTCACTGTATTGATCATGACCAAGGATCTTAGCAATCCATTTGCCACAGAAAACACAAAACAAAACACAGAATTTGCATTTTTGTAGAAAATCTTGTTTTGACATTTTGTGAAAAAAATAAAATCTAAAATAGAAGTCTGTCACCAGCACACACAGAAATATGGGGGACTGATGCTGCCTCTGTAATTCTTTATAATCTGTCATGACCAAGGAGCCTAGTTTTCTGTGTTTCCCCTCACCCCCATTCTCCAGTTAAAAATACTGTAAACCTCTTGAAACAAAATACAGGACTATGTAGCACTTTAAAGACTAACAAGATGGTTTATTCAGGATCTGAGGAAGTGGGTCTGGCCCACGAAAGCTCATCATCTAATAAACCATCTTGTTAGTCTTTAAAGTGCTACATAGTCCTGTATTTTGTTTCAAGAGGTTTACAGTATTTTTAACTGGAGAATGGGGGTGAGGGGAAACACAGAAAACTAGGCTCCTTGGTCATGACAGATTATAAAGAATTACAGTATTTTTTCTTGGCGTCCAACACTCCCCAAACACTAGGACTCTTCCCCATGCATCTTCTCAAGCTTGCTCAAAAAACTCAGAACTTACTGCCACAGAATGTTCATTGCAGGTTATAAAATCAGGGCACAGCTTGGGACACATGGGCACATGTGAGAGCAACATTATACAGCAGTCCTGGTCTGCTATAACCCTGCTATTCCATTATTCGGCCTTTATTCAGCAGAGATTGCCATGCTAGTCAAATATTTGATGAGTGGCTCAATGGGAACTGGAAAAAATCACCACCAGATTCGCCCTCCCTGCAATTGCGAAGACAGATTTGAACCCAGCTCTCCAGAATACAGAACTAATGAAATATCCTACTCCCCTCTCAATAAAAAGCATTCTACTGTGAAACTTACATTCAGCCTGGGCAATGATGGAAATGGACGCAGAACCTCCTTCTGTCTCTTCTTTTGCTGTTCCTTTGGTGATCACATCTTTCAGGATCTTCCACTGACTGTGGAAGGCAACTTTCTCTGAATCTTCTACTTTGCAAACACTGCTCTGCTTCTCACCCACTGTTTCACTCAGCCCTTTAGTAGCAGCAAGCTCCTTCTGGTGCCCGATAGTGGGGTCAGGAGCTCCTTGGCATGCAACTTCCATCACAGCCATTTCATAGGCTCACAAAGACACTGTGTAAAAAAAACCCTTGTTAGAATTTACAGAAGGATAAAATATTAGTTCACGCAAGAGTCTCACAACTTAAGTTGTAACAGCCACATGAAGCCAGGGACAGGTTAGATTTGGGTGGCACCATATGTTACCCCAGGTCACACAGAACCTGGGAGCTGTAAACAGAACTGTGATATCCTAGGTCCCAGTTCCCTGCTCTTATGATCAGATCAGAGCTAAATTATTAATATTATTTCAAATTCTACAAAGATGGAAGATTTTTCCTTTATCTCATATTCATGCAGCCTAACTACAAACAGTAATTAAGCATAGTAATTTAAAACCCCCATCATTTTACAGAGGGAATGGTCACACATCTGTATTCTGTTTGCTGAACGTTACCAGTTAGATCTGCAGATTCCATATTCTCTGTACATCCCCTTACAACCTGTACCTTTGAAATGGGCATGAAGTATTCCTGTCTTTGAATTTCTCTCTTACAGCTTGTGTGTTAAGAGTAGCTTGTTTGTTTTTGGGGGTGGAGGAGAAGGGCAGAGAGGGAAAGAAAGAGTTCAATAAAGTTTGTTGATGTGTGTGGGTGTTTTAAAAAAAAAAAAAAAAAAAAAAAGAGGAAATTAAATTCTAGCTATTCATGAGTCATTTCCTCATGCCAGTCCATCCACCAGTAAAAGTGAGATCCTAAAGCAAATGCTTTGTATTAAGCAGTTTGTGAAAATTCAGATTCCTACATCAAACGTAGGCAGGTGAATGTGTAAGTCCCAGCCTCCCCCATTCCACAAAAAGTGTGAGAAAATGGAAAGATGATGCCTGAATAAACCAGTAAAGGCAGAAACACAAGATCATTCCAAGCACATACCAACAGACTGCTTTTGCTGGTCACTGCCTGGGATAACCAAACAATCCAAAAATGCACATAGTGACTACTGTTATGATCCTCAAGGGAGCATTAAGGGTGCTTAGCAGCTCTCAGGATCGGTGCCTAAGGGGCAACCTTAGGAAAGAAATGAACTGTTTGAACTCCAAGTGCACATACCTGTGAGTGGTTTGCAAATGAACCACCTAACAGCCTGGGACCAACTAGGGATGCGAATGGTTAGCCGGTAAGCCTCACCCTTAGCTCAGCCAGAACAGCCCCTGGTCAGCAACCCACACAGCAGGTCAGGGCGCTCCAGTCTAACCAGAGCAGTCCCCCATCCATCCCCCGCTTTAAATCAGTTAACCAGTTAAACATTACATTTAACCAGATAACTAATTAAATGGGATTTTACACCTCTAGGCCCAACAGAACTACAATAGGCAGGCAGGCATACAAGATAAACCAGCAAGGACCATATTCAGAGGCTAACTGAACACACAACAGCTGCCGTGAGTGCTGGTGACAGAATCCTTCTCACTACACTAATCCTTGTGCCTCTTCCCTATAGAATGTGTGTCAAGACCAAGTGCTATGAAATCTCCAGAGCAGCCGAGAGCCTGCCAAAGGACTAACTCAAGCCACCACTGACATGGTAGACAAGTTCAGGGCTATTTTCATATTCACACTCTCCTGATTTGCAATACACTTAGCTTGGACTCTCTCCATGTCCTTTAAGACCCAGGTAAATCCTTGAACTCTCTCTCTCAAGTTAAAACATTAGTATCATTCCTAAATACCTCAGATTAGTTAAATACATGTACTGGGATTGACCCATCACAAAGTCCCGGTCCTTTAGAAATAGAACAGCTATACTGACATTGAAGTCAGTGCAAGGAAGACTTTTTTTAAACATGTAAAATAAACCCGAGAAATCCCACAGAACTAGTGTAAACCCAGCCTTTTATTAAAAACCATGGTGATAATCGCTACACAGTCAATTTAACACATGATCCAAGTGAGCAGGGCTGTGAAGGAGAAGGGAGTTTTACCTGTTAACTGAAATTAGCATTACAATTTGAGAGGTGACAACTAAGTGGTGGGAATTCTCAGGAACAGGGAGCTGGAAATGAGACTGAATAAGAAAGACTGGCCATCATATTTATAACCACAACATTCCCTAGAACAGCGGTCACCAGCCAGTGGATCGGGATCTACCGATAGATCTTGGAGCCTCTGACAGGTGACCCTGACTGGTCTGACCAAGAGACTATCAAGTGCTGGCACTTCAGTTGCCCCTTCCGCCACTTCTGCGCATCTCCTGCCCTTTGCCTTGGAGCTGTCATCTCCAACCCCTAGGAGCCTCCTGCTTGCTGGGCTGGACAGGGGAAAGATGTCAAAGCACCCGCCTCCTACCCTGTAGCCTATCCCCACAGAGCAGAGAGGGAGCACAACAGGGCTTGGGATGGAGTTTGCTGGCTGCTTTCAGGAGTGGCGCAGGGCCAAGGCAGGGGTGAGCCTGCCTCAGCCCTACTGCACAACCACTCAGGAGCCACCTGAGGTAAGCAGTACCCAGTCGGAGCCCACATCCTGAAACCCTACCTCAGACATGAACCCCCTCCTGAATCCCAGACCTCTGCCCTGGCCCCAAGCACCCCTGCATCCAAACACCCTCCCCAAGCCTGCACCTAGAACCCCCTCCAGTACCCCAACTATCTGCCTCAGACTCAGTTCAGAGCCCCTCTCGCACTCCAAATCCCTTAATCCAAGATCAGAGACTGCACCCCAACCCTCTGCCCTTGCCTGGTGAAAGTGAGGGAGGGTAGAACAGGCAGGGAGGGAGGATGGAGTGAGCAGGGGCAGGGCCTTGGAGAAGGAGGCACAAAGGAGGTGGGGCCAGAGAATTTGGGTGTGAGGTAGATCTTGGATTACACTTACATTCAAAAAGCAATCTCATGCTTAAAAAGGTTGGAGGCCACTGCCTTAGTGGTTCCAACCCCAGCAGGAGAGATTCAGCCCTTCCCACATACGTAAACTGGAGGCTGTAATCCTAGAGAGGTGCCAAGTACTCAACTCTCACTCATGTGGTTACGGGCACTTACCACCTCTTGGCATACCATTTTTTTCAGTTACATTTTAGAGAAAAAGGCCTATATTCTCAAAGGCATTTAGGCACTCAATTTACAGAAATCAATGGGAGTAAGATGCCTAAATCCCAGAGTCCTGTGGGCTCTGAACAGACACTACAGATTTCACAGTGTTATTCATAAGATAAGCGTGCCCCCCCGGCAACTGAGGACTGTGTTGCTGTTTGTCCAGCAGGCTGACACCCTGCCACTGCAGCAGAGATCACATCCTCACCAATTCATGGGAAAGAAAAGAGATACGGGAAGGAAAATTTAAGTTATGATTATAGTGTGCAGTTAAGACAGAGTTTCCTAGTTTCATTAGTCAAATAGGTTAAATTCTTCCAGATTTCATCCCTGCCTGACCACAAAGACCTGTTTCTTTTCTTTTCTTTTTTTTTTTTTTAAATATAAAGGACAGGCCCATGAAAATGAAGAAATCAGAGGGGTCAGCAACAGAGCTAGGAGCCATGAACACTATACCACCTTCCTGCAGTTGAACTCACTTAGTTTTTAAAATAGTAATGGAGCTAACTGCACTTGTACCCACTAAGATTTTACAGCAAGATAACCAAGCCACGTTAGCTATTTTACTGTAAAACACACACCTTTCTGGCAACGAAGGTACAGCCATACGAACAGCGGCTGGGAATGGAAAGTCATTGTACAGCACTACTGAAGATGTACAGTCATTGATCTAATTGCATCAGTGTCTCTTTCCCCAAATAGCCTCAGATGCTGAAAACACAAACACACAGCCTAGGATTTTTCAGAGGAGCCTAAAGGAATTAGGCACCCAAATGCCATTTAAGTTCAAAGAGAATGGAGTGCTCAAATCCCTTCAGCTCCTTAAAAAGACCCAACCCCGATCACTTTGCTACTTTGAGGCACCACTTGTCTACTTCAGTTTTTCATCTGAAGATAACGTCCAACTGAAGTAGACTCTGGAGCAGGGACTTTGTCTGACCTGCCAAACGCTCTGTGATTTTAAATAAAATTCTACTAGAGTTAGACTTAACATCTGGGCCATGGTGAACCAGAACAGTACATTTCAAAGTATGAAAGATATACAACACATTATAGTTGGCCCCAAATCAGCTGCTGTGAAGGCCAAATCTCTCCCGCCAATTGCTATTTTGGAATGGTTCTAAGTTAGCATTTTGTCAGAGGCCAGGCAACCTACAGATTGGAGAGAGCTACCCTAAGTCAATTTATACATTTAAGAGGGGTACTTTTAAAAAAAATCTAATGCTCTTTCATTCAAATCACCCCTAAGATGCTTATGATGTTAGAACATACAATTTAAGTCTTAGCAACGTTACTCTGATGACCTATATCTGGCCACCAAAAACAAAACTTCACAACTGTGGGATGGAGCCTGGAATTTACACATAATACCACCAGGGAGTGCTACATCCCCATCCCCAAGACCATGCCTACACTAAGGTTTATGTGGGAATCTTTAATTTCCAACAAAGTAGCACTCTCACTACAGGTAGCAACTCAGAAGCAAAGAGCAGTCCAAGGCTCAAATGTCTGAGATGTTAAACGAGGTGGTAAAAAATACTGGAACCTGTATGAACTTTTATCTACATCAAAGATTTCATAAGGAGAACAGCCCTTGCTGAAAGTTACAAGTCCAACAGAAACCCTCAGAATATAAAATGTTCTGGGGAACTGAGAATTTTGTATAAAACCGTAAGATGCCAAATTCTGTCCTGTAAAAAGGACATGATCAACCCCAACACAGTTCTTACAAGTTTATTATGCCTTCTTTAACATTTGAGAAGTGATGTTTTCCCGCCATTTATTCCTTCCTCCATTTGGTTGGTGAACATAGATTTCTTCCGCTGCCCATGTTTCAAATGGAATTGAAATTAAGATAGTTCTGTTTTTTAACTTGTCAGTTCCAGCCATATTATGGCAGCATAGCATTGGGGTTGTCTGTGAACTAGAGTCAGCATGTAGAAGTTTCAGTTAATCTCAGAATGGATTAAAGAAACAGAACATGGAGGACCTTCTCCAATCAATTTGTTAGGATTTTAAGGTCAGTATCAGCAAAAAGAGGATTTATGGAAATCTGAGTTACCTGACGGATTAAATGTAGGCTTTGTGCAGAGACCTGCTGTTTGGTGACTGAAAGCAGTGTGAGTTAAATGACTTGTTATCCTTCTAGAGAAGTTTTAGAGAGGTAGCCATGTTAGTCTGTTTCAGCAAAAACAAGGAGTCTGGTGGCACTTTAAAGACTAATGTAATAGGGCATAAGCTTTCCTGAGCTACAACTCACTTCCTCAGATGCTGAAGAGAAAAAGAAAAAAAAAAAAGATAGAGATGGGAAAGTGACATTAGTGCTAATGAAATCAGAGTGCAAGTGGTTCATCCACAACAGTGGTAAGAAGGTGAGAGTACTTGAATGGGAAATTACCTATTGTAATGCGAGAACAATTCCTATGTTTATTTAGACCAAGGGTCTGCAACCTATGGCTCTCGAGCCAAATATGGCTCAGTATGGAACCAAATATGTCTTTTTGTCAGTCTCAAAATACATGCAACTTTTTAAATTAAAATGAAACATTCAAAATTTTAAAAATGTGTAACTACTTATGTAGCTTGATTGTGTGCTTGAGCCTGAATTTGACCAGTTATGTTGTAAACTTTAAAGAAATTTACTGCTACATCTTTTTGCACAAGTCCCATTAAATAAAGTCTGTGAGTACAGTTTCATTTACACTATTATTAATCATCATGTCAATTAATAATATTAAGTTGTATATTTTAGTCATGCAAATGGACATTCTTATACAGTTTTTTGTTGACTTGTTCTGAATTTTGATGTAGTTTGGCTCTTTGGTTCGAAAAGGTTGCTGAGCCCTAATTTAGACCTTGGTTCAGGGTGCCAAATTTGCATATGAATTCCTTTCAACATACAAATGCAGGTGGGGGAAGCACTTTAACCTTCCTGGGCACCTGTCCTGGACTTGAAAGTAGCAACTCTCAGGCAAAACAAAAACAAAAACCCCTTCAAAACAAGACACTGCTAAGCTGAGTGTAAGTTTGCACCGCTTACATGGCTTACTTTTTACACTTCAGAGTAATTAATGAAATAGAATTTTTAGCTGTCATGCAGTACTACAATGTAATGCAATGCAGAAGGAAATACCACACATTTAAGCAGGTCTACCTTTAGTCTTCCCTTGCCGCACACTCATTTTTGTCTAGGGAGAGAGGCGGAGAACCTCAGGCCCATGGGCTGGATGCAGCCCCCGAGGCTCAAGCTTCCGCCCCCAACCAGCATAGGGGAGCCAGCGGTGCCCCCCCCCCCCGCGAGGCTGTAAGCACACAAAAATCTACGAGGCTGGGCCCCCCCTAGGCTCTGGTATGCAAGGGAAATGTGGGGAGTGTCTTTCTCCTCAGTTAGGGACTATGTCCGTGAGAGGTTTTGTGTTTTTTGCTTCTCACTTGTGTATGGCCCCCCGACTGATTTTTCCACTTCCGACCCAAAAAAGGTTCCCCATCCCTGGTCTAGGGCCCCAGCCAACTCCTAACAATGTTATTTTCATAATATTGAAATGGGATGAGATTCACTAAAGCTATTTGATAAAACATTTACCCGTTTCATTCAAGTTAACGTTTGCAAAGGATTTTGTACATAACTCCTGTAGAAGCTGCATATACTAAGTTAGTAAGCATCAATCTAGACAAGGTTATATTTTCAATTAAGTTTAGTTGTTTTTACATCTCCATCAACCTTCATCATGCAGTAGTCCAACAGAACATTCTGAACTTATTTTTTAAAAGATGACATTTCTTAAGCAGAATAGTGATAGAAATGTAGCCGTGTTAGTCTGGTGTAGCTGAAGCAAAATACAGGACTATGTAGCACTTTAAAGACGTAACATCTTTAAAGTGCTACATAGTCCTGTATTTTATTTCTTAAGCAAGCTTAGTTGCCAATATTACATCCCCAACTTAAAATAAGTTGGTACTTAAAAGGGACATTCCTCTCTGTGTCCTATTTATGCTACCAAAAACTTCCATGTTACACAATTCAATGTTTTCTGTGTAGACAGAACTAAATTTTAATCAAATATAATAAATATTGTAAACTCCACTGCCAAAGACAATCAAAAGATTTGGTCCCATCTATACCAACCATGCTACTTCTCTTCCCAGACCCTTACATGAAATATTTTGTAATGTCAACAGAAAAAACCAGCTTTCACTTAAATGGTTTTTACTAAACTTAGTAGAGACGGAAGCATTTCCACGTAAGATTTATTTAAACATTCCCCTTACCTTGTGAACCCCAAACACATCATCATAATAGTGAACAAGACCCAGAAAGCTAAACTAACTCATTTAGTTTCACTGTCCAATCTGAGAAAAATACTATTAATCAAACAGCAATATTTTAAAGATTTATAGTAAACAATTTCAACTTAAGTTGAGACATTTAGATATTTCTAAAGCACCATCACCATGCTAAATGCAAAAGTTAAGAATACCAACAAATTTGTACAAAATTGACTGACCTCTCCTTCCACTCAGCTGTTGCTATTAATAAGGTTAAAGTAACAGTATGATATTCAGAGACTCAGCTTTTCATGACAACAATCACTTAGTAATTCAACTTTTTACATGTGCAATCAATTATGATAACTGCACAGCCACTAGATTTAAGATAGTTAAATGTATATACCTATGTATAGCCCTTATGATGCTTAGAGTAACTTGGATGTCTTCTAACCCTAATTTCATCTGCAGACTCACACTGTGGATAAACAAAGAAGAATTATCACTCATACAAGGGCTCAGAAATCCTATTTAAAAAGCAATTTGCAAGATGTGTCAAGCTGCCACTTTCAATTCGTGCACGTATGTTTCCAGCTTAACTGATATTAAGATGAAGCAGACAGGAAGCATCTGAAATCAACCACAGCAGTGACTTATTAATCAGCAAAGCAGTATTTTAACCTTTTGCCAAAAAAAGTTGTTTTAAAGAGAAGTGATGGTCAGATAATGAGTAGTGAGTAAACAGGCAGTTAAACTGAACTCCAGATCTTATTCATTTGTATATTTTGATTGGCTGATCAAGGTCTCTGCCTTTTTCTCTCCTCCCCCACTGTAAAGGATAGCTTTTGCAGATCTGCACCTAGCAACTCCCAATCAAAACAGCAAAAGTCTGCTGTTTACTCTCCTAACTTATTAGGAATACTTTTTTTGCTGTAAAGAAGCAGAAAGCAGGCAGAAGTAAGTTATCCCCCCTCCCCCAAATCAAAAAGGAAAAAAGTCTGTTCATTAGTAGAAAGATACCATCTGGGCTAAAAGTGTCTCTTTAGGCCTCCTCTGAAGCTACTATAGGAACACATGGAAAAGAAAGAGCAAGTTCAACTGAATTATAGGCTGAAGATACATATTAGTCAGTAATGAGATCACTTAGGAATACTCTGCTATGTTCAAGAATGTTTCACAAAATAATTGTTAATTTGCTGAAATACTTCACATAACTGTTAACAATGTGAAGATGTTTAGGCTGCACAACACACTAGTAGAAATCAAAGGAACAAAACAGAGTTCAGCTATCATACCTTAACTAAATAGTTAAAGTTATCATACACATCCAAATCTGCCACTCTTTCAGTATTCCACTGAATAAAGCTGATGTTTTGCTAATACCTTATTTCACTGTTATTTTCAAAACATACTAGGTATCAGATGTTGCTATCAAAACCATTCATGTCAGAAACTAAGACTCTCTTATTTTAGTTTAACAAGTTCATAGAATCAGAGCTGTAAAAGACCTCAGGAGGTTATCAAGTCCAGCCTCCTGGCTCAAGGCAGGACCAATCCCAACTAAATCAACCCAAGTTCAAATAGCCTTTGCTGATGCTTCCCAGCAGAAGGTTCTAAGAGAGGAAGTCAATTTATGACCAGAAACAGCTCAGATTTCTGGTATCCTCACTTTAGAAAGTTAACAGCAGTTTTACTGTTTAACACATTTTAAACAACTGAATTCTAGAGCTGACATGTGGAAGCTACATCTGGATGGAAAGGGAGCCAAGGAGCCCAACAGGGCAATGCTCACACTAGGGTGGTAAATATGAACACTGATTGGCTTGCTCTTGCCCCTCAGAGACTAGGGGTTACTATTGCATGGGACTGCCTAAGACCCCACCCCCCCCATTTCCCAGCCCCACCCCCCTCG